TTGTTTATCTGAGAGGGGACCTTATTACCCGGGATTCCTACAGCAGAGAGGCCAGGCACGCTCAGCTAAGCCGCCAGCTCCCAGCTAGCTTCCCATGGCTAAAGGCAAACAAGGATCAGCAGTCAGGATGCTTTGCTTTCAATGGTTATTTATTAAATGTAAAATATCTTTAGCACAGATTAAAAATCAGACACTTCCATATATTTTAAACATCACAGGTAGGGAAAAAAAGAAACATTCCTAAAAACAGAATCCCAACCAGTTCAGAGTTAGAGGGTAGCTACTCCACGAGGCCGGACAGAGGGTTTTAACTGAAAACTGCACTCCTCCTGATCCCTGTACTTCATCCATAATACCCCTAATTTTACAAAATAACTTTTTTTTCCAAATAACTTCAGAATTTGCCTTGTGTTGATGAGGAACTAAAACGTGAAAGAAACATTAAACTTTTATTTAGAAGCAGAATACATTTGTTTTCTGTCAGCTTGCCAAACTTAAAATAACTTTTCATAAAAACGGAGAAAAAAAAGGAAAGGGCGTTGGCATGGCAAGCATGAATGTATACTGTAATGATCTGTAGTCGGTGCCAGGAGGCAGCTTCTAAAACTGCGTCCCAGTCATGATCGCTCTGCCAGTTTTAGTACTGCTGCTCAACTGGAGTGCCATCACAGGGGTCATCTGGTAAAAGCCCCTCTTTGTCTCTCTCTCCTCTGCCTCAACCCTCGCCGCTGTACAAATGCCAACTTGACAACAAATGACACAGATGGTGAGCAGAAACACAGGACAGGCCATGGAAGAGAACCACCCACAGGAGTAAGAAAACAGGAAGACTCTACACACACTGTCCAAGCGAGGATATTGCCTGACATTAATATCAACTCGTTCTTTTTTCCCTTTTTTACTGTATTTAATTCTTTTTTTTTTCTTTTTTTAATTATTCATTTTTTTTACTTTTCTTTCAGCGCATGCCATGTGAGAATTTAGGGATTATAAAAGTACCTGAAAGAACTGCAAGGTTTTCTGCATGCATAGACTTTGGTATTTACAGGTTTGTATGTACAGACTAAAACCAGACTGCTCTACTGAGATGGCTTATTTACACATTTAGGTCAGCGGGAGAGATTGATGTCATAAGTACAGATGTGAGGGTTCAACGGGGTCACATGCATAGCTCTTACAGCTGAGTACAACTCTGATGACAAAGAGAGACACAACAGAACACAGCAAATGTAAAAATACAGATTTTTCAATCACAAAGCATCTTATTCGTTCACCTTTTGCTTTACAAATATGCTAAATATGACTTCTAGTTATTGCTCAACACTTTATTAGGATATTTCTATTGCCAGTCTATGAGGTTCTTTAATATTGGGACAATATTGGGATTGGAAGACTTTGATCTGGCCCAGAGATGTTCCAGCGCTGTAATGCTGGATCCAAAACTAATGCAAGCTTGCACTGCTCTTCAACTTCCACCAAAAAACACATTATTGCAGGGTACATTTCCTCATTATTTGCATTTTTAACCACAAATCTTTACACAGAAATAGTGTCCAGAGAATAGGCTGTCAAATTTTTCTACTATGCTAATCCTTTGGCTTTTCTCTCTGTGATATGTTCTGTTGCTGGCATATTCTTTAAGTCTTTTATTTGTTTTTCTGTCACTTTCTCGACAGTCTTTAGATTATTAAGGTATACATTTGATGACATGCTCATGGTCCAGTCCTATTAGGTTAATTAAAGTTTCCCATATTTTTTCAGTGTAGATTATCTCTTCCTCCAGTGCTTTGCAAAGTATTCATATCCCTTGAAGTTGTTTTTTTTACCTTTACCTTTTACCTTACATTACAATTATCAGCAGTAAATGTATTTTAACATGAGTTCTTGTGATCATGGTAATATAAAGTATAATTGAAAGGAATGGATTTCAGGCTTTCACCATGTTCCTTTAAGCCCCCTTTACTTAGATATATCCGGTATCCAGTCTAACTCATTAAAACAAACTACCCTCAGAGTAAAACATGTCAAAAGAAACATATATTAAATGCTTTTCTTCAGCAAAGAACACAAAACTGGTCTAAGAAAGCCTGTTAGGAACAGTAAAAACATGAGACTGAGACTGGGCTACACCTTCCAGCAAGACAATGATCCCAAAACAAACAGCCTGAGCTACAATAAGATACAAGCTTATTGGTGTGTTACAAATGAGAAGCATGTTTGTTGAGCTGATATTCACGGGCATTTATGCCTTCTATCCATCCTTAAGAGCTTGAACTATTTTGGAAAAGAATAGCCAAAAGAATTTATCTAAATATGCAGAACTAGTGGTTAAAAACACCCAGATGACCTGCAGATTTAGTTGCAGCACAAGGTGGTGCAAAATATGCATACACACAATTTCTATTACATGAAAAATCAAGAAAATATATGGAACGTTGACAATAACATTATTGTGAAAAGTGTGCAAGGGATGTGAATGATTTTGCCAGACACTGTTACTCTTTAAAGCTGCAAATATTTGCGTTTTCCTTGAAAAAAAAATTCTGGATGTTTAGTTTAAAACATTTCAGAGGGTGTCTGTGACTAGCTGGGAGACTGCTTTTTCAAAGAAGGATCTTCCATTTATGAGTTTTTTCCTTTTTGCTATTCTGCACAAAACTGCCTTGAATCTTAAGTCTTTTTGTTAAGCTTTAGAGATTCCCCGAATTGATTTCAAATCCCAGTTCACAGCTCTAGTTGGAAAAGAGCAAAACACAAGGATGTTTCTCAGAAAAGTACTGTACACAAGGTAATGATTAACATTTAGTTAAAGAAGATAAAGATACACACTGAGAGTTTGCAGACAGCTACATTTACAAACCTCGTTTGCACTCAGACACGGGTTGGAAATGGCTACTCTTTACGTTTTCCCCTCTTTTCTTAATGTTCTTCTCCTTTTGCTTATAAACCGTTACTCGTGTGTCATAAATGCTCGTACAAATGGCTTCTGCGCAAAAAGATGTGTAAAAAATGTAGTTCTCATTCCCCGTACCTCTACCTCGCACACACTTTGGCTATCCTATCTGCAAATGCACACACACAATGATAAATGGCTGTGGTGGGTGGCTAAGCATGTTAATGCCTAATCTCATCAGCCTTATCTCTTACAGAGGTCACAGGATCAAGTGGTGTGGGGCTGAGCTAAACACCAATAAGATTGTACAAACAGTCCATGTAATAGTTTATCTGCCACGAACCGCACTGCTGCATTCTGGGTTTACTTTTCAAAGGATGAAAAATTCAGATAATAAAAGTTTCATTTGAAATTACTGCCAGATCAGTGTTTGGTAATTGAGTGCTCAGAAAGGCAGCCAAGTTCAAGGTGTTTCAGCGTCTTGGAGCCCTGCTTTCCTGAACTCCTCTGTCAAGTTTAAAGGCAGGGTTGCCTCTCAGTCGAGCAAAATCAGATGCCCTCAGTGAGGGAGATGAGTTATACCAAGCGCCTGTGAACCTGTAACTCTGAGACACTGTTTGGCATTTAAGCATCTTTGATATGGCGACATGTGACGTGGATGAAGTTATCGCCCGGCTGGCAGGTGAGACAGACAGCGGCCTACAGAGAGATGCAGCCGTTTCATCTGCTGTTTACCAGCTCTCTCATCACACACCGCTTCAAACACGCTGAATCTGAACACACAGCGTACAGGAGGGGGGCTGACTGCACTGGTTTGTGTGTATTGATGAAATGAAAACATTTTCCTTCTTCATTTATCGCATATGCAATTTGCACATTTTTATTCAAAAATTTCACTTTATGTATTAGCCTCACAGCTGCTTTACGAAGCTGTTCAAACAGTTGGCAAGTAATGGTTCTCCATTATGCATGTGTATTTATATATATCTATGTGTTTGACTATTGCACATATGGGCTTGTCTCGGTGCGAGCCAGTGCTCTGTGCTAAAACTCTCATCACTCTCATCGGGAGATAAAGTGGGCAAACCATTTCATGTGGTCGTACAGAAGTCGTCTCCAACCCCGGGTGTTTCACGGGAAGCTGTCACAGCAGCTTTTAGCTGGAGCTGCAACATGAAAGATCCCTCTTTGAGCAGTCGGGTTATGTGTGTAATTCTCTCTGACGTGTTTATTCAACTTTCATTTTCAAATGTCACAGAAATCTCTTGCCCGCCACCACATCCACCTCTTCCAAGAATATCCCCACTAATTACAGACTGAAAGGACATGGTGTGTTAGAAAACTTAGCACGTAACACCCTTTCAGTGTTAGAGAACAACATAAAACTCTGTGAGTTTTTGGGTTTAGGACCAAATGATGTTGAAAACTAAATGTACTTAGAGAAAACTAGTCAGAAAGCCGCCAGTCTATGTATGCTTACTGAAAAAAAAGCAATTTTTTTCTATAATTAACTGACATATAACTTGGGTACGGAATTATTCTTGCATAAAATCCCAATGCTTATATTTAACTTTAAAAGCCTGGCTCAATCACTGTACACATAATGTGAAAATATACATCCTTATTTCCACTCAAACCTGTTTTTCTATTATTATTTATATAAAAGCTGCATTTTTAGCTGAGATTCACGTCCAAACTGGAGTTATTTTAACCCTTTTTCACTGCGCCGGTGCATCTTGAGTAGTCCTGTACATGCCAGGTAAAGATAAATAAATATATGTACAGTTAAGTTGATACGAAGCAGTCCTCAGTGGCTGCTGAGAGAAGGGTGAGACAGCTTGTGTGTAAAAGTCTTTAATTTTTTTTCCTGCGGCCGCTCAGTCCTGCTGTCTCCTTTTTCCGACTGTCTGCATGTATGCGTTTATCTCCTAAACGATGGATGCTGCCTGCGTCCCCCATTCATCCTCTCTCTTGACAGGGCACCTCTGAACGTCTCCGTGCGAGTAGATGAGTTCTCCATGTTTTGTCTCCTCCTGCAGGATGAAGCCAACTAAGTCGTCTAAGTGCCACTGATGGTGTCTCCTTTTCTCTCTTTTTGCCTTCACAGCAACAAGGTGCTGCCACCACGGTGTACTGCGCGGTGGCCCCAGAGCTGGAGGGTTTAGGCGGCATGTACTTTAACAACTGCTTCCGCTGCCAACCGTCCATCCAGGCACAGGATCCAAGCAATGCTACTAGCCTGTGGGAGCTGAGTGAGCGCCTGGTTGCAGAGCGATCAGTCGGAGTTCAGTCCCTCTAACGGACTGAAATCCAGGCGGTGTGGGGAAGAAGTCACAGAAGCTTTTGATGTTGACTTAGGGGTGAACTTGATAAAAGACTCTGACTGCACAATACAAAAACTGCTAAACCACAGAGGTCTGCATGGATATGTCATCTCACTATGGGGCTAAAACATTCTACATACACAGGAAGGAGGGGGTTTAATTTACAGTTGCAGTCCAGTTGTTTGTGTTGCTTTACAGTAGGAAGTAGGGAACTTAGAATGAACAGTTTATCTTTTTTTCCCCTGCTCTTTTCTCGTAACATTTTAACCACAACATTTTTGAGTTAGCATATGCTTGGATTACAGCTATGGTTCACTGTTTAAGAAAAATCGTCTTCCAAATGAATATCTCTGTATTCAGTGTCATTAAGTCTACTGTTGTGCAGAATCTTCTGCCAAGAAATGGATTTTAACGGTTTGAGTTAAAGAAATACAACCTAGTGAGCATAGGACCCTCACAAAGATATAAACACAATAGAGGTATGTTTCTTTTGCCTATTTACATGATTCTGCGATAATCGTATCTTTATCAGTATCCCTACTAGTTATCTGTACAGTATTTACATCCACCTGATTTGAAGAGGGCATCCTAATTTCCTCCTTTCTATGATGGAACTAGAGCATCTGTACTAAATCTGAGTTACAATTTGGAGATTTATGGAATGATATTTCACCATCATTAAGAGTCTTATTTACAAACACCATGATCTCTGTTTCTTCTCTTGCTGTTAAACTAGAATTCATGATTTCAGTCTGTTTCTTTTTAAGCTGTGATCTTTAGTGTTGAGCCGCTGTATTTGGGTTGGGTTGTCCTGAAGCTGCTTGGAGGGCGATTCGCTTTTGAGACATTGTGCTTCATGGCAGTCCGGGTGCCGAAGGTTGTTCAATAAACAGCATTCCAGTGTCATAATATCTGTAATAAAAAGAGAGAGGGAAAAAAATAAAAATTGGTGACAATTCAATAAATTAATGTGTTTGTTTTTCATGTCAAATCCTTGAAATACATTGATTTGGAGGCCAATGGGGGTTATATATGTTAAGCTAGTTGAGGAATAATATATCAGCTTTACTCTACCTTTGTTTGATATATATTAGATAAGAAATAAACATTAAACACAATAACGTATCATCAGATTTCTTTTCTTTTTTTTTTAAAGAAGAACTTTTACCTCCTGGTTTTAGAAGGTAAACCAATCATTCAATCATACAAACAGCCTCACAGATACATTTTTATATCCCTGTAAAACAGGGAATCTGGACAAAATAAATATATTCTCTTTTTAAACTGCACCATATGTCCAAATGTAAGCAAAAGGAAAATATGAAAATCATAAAACAGAGAGTGTCATGTTAGCACCTTCTCATCACCCATGTTTCAGAAATAGTTAGAAAAAAAACATGACCAAAATAAAATAGCAAGATTAGGGCTGAAAAAATCTGACTGTGATTAATCAATTATTGAAATAATCAACTAATTCAGTAATCGATTAATTGTTAATTAGAAAATAGACTGTAAAACATGCCTTTAGCTTAGAGCATTAATTAAATCAAAATTGTAAAAAATACATAAATATTTTGCATTTAAGTAAAAAAAAAAAAAAAACTTTTTGTGTGTCAATATGCTCTATCCAAAACACCACAAGTTAAAAACTTAGTTTCACCTGGTTTGATTCTGTAAAAAATCTTCTTTAATGTATCAGATTGTTAATCAATGAATCCCAAAAATAATGGACAGATTAATCAATTAGCCAAATAATCGTTAGTTGCAGCGCTAAACAAGATAAATGTTAATGGTGAGAACGTGTTACACAGATTAGGAAATATGATAATCTGGAATCTGGATAATCTTATTTTGAACAGAAAATTGTTTTAACACCAATAAAAAACAAGTAGAAAAAGTTCTCAACTTACATCTTACACTGTTCAGATTTTTATGTCTTATCAATGTTTTTGCTTTTACTCTCAAGTTTAATTTTCTTAAAAGCTTAAAACAGGCCTAAAAAAATTACACATATATAACACAGGTCCATCCTATGGCTCTGATTATTATTTGTTTTTGTTTTTTTCTGTATTTTGAAGAAAAAACAGTTATAACACAAATGTTATCCTAATAAAAATATAAACAATACTGACAAGATAAGATTTAGATAAAAAAATACAAATGTTAACATTTTCTAAAGAAATTTAGATCCCCAATTTAACAATTGTAATCAAATACACTGCCAGTAAAGGTTACAGTCCTAAAGCCTTGTCATAACTTAAGGTGCAGGTGTCTTATCTCTGTCCTTTCACATCCCTGGACCCACATCAGAACACAGCAGCATCTGTGATATTCACACTCAGGAATTAACTGACAAAACATTTCATTACGTTTTCCAGGAAATGGAACGAGCTGGGTTCTATCTAAAAAAAAAAAAAACACATTATCCCAATAAGACCTTTATAAAAATAAAGAATGCCTCAGAGAAGCTCTAAGATGAATGCAGTGGCAGTGAGGTTAACTGTCATCTTGGGTGCTCTCCATGGTGCTGATTAGGCTGTCTAACAATTCATGCGTATTTAAGAACGTTGGCTGCCTGTTGGTCAATTTCAGATTATATCCTGACCATAAGCTTTTTTTTTTGTCTGCACACTGCAAAAACGATCTAAAAATTAGTTAAAATTTCTTAAATTAAGTGTATTTACCCTTAATTTGAGCAGGTAAATAAGATAATCTGCAAATGGAATAAGCATTTTTACTCTTAAAATAATTAGAAAATAAGATAATTAGATATTATGCACTTGAAATAAGAGACTGTAGTTGTTTTTTTTTATTTTAAATGTAAATTTCCTTATTACATTGGCAAAGTGTAACACCTAACTGCTTGATTTAAGAAAAAATGCTCTTATTTTTAGAATAATAAACTTACTTAGATTTAATTTTTTTTGCAGTGCAGCCTTTTTGAACATCAACATACATGTTCTGAAGACTTTAAAATCTTCCCAGATGATTCAGCCCTAGCAAACAGATCTCCAGTTTGTTCAGCATGTCCATTATTTATCTACACTTGACCTGTTGTTTTATCCAGTGGGTTATTAGGCTTATTTCAAAAGTAAACTTCTTTATTGTTACAACAAAGCCTTGCTAGAAGAAAAGGGACATTGTTTTAAATTTCAGTTATTATTATTATTATTATTATTTTTTTATTTATTTATGGCATGTATAATTTTAAGATCAATACTCAGCCTGCTTAGTAGAACCTAGAGTGGCATGCCTTTAGTTTCTAAAAGGGGTTAAGTTGTACAATATTTGCAAAATAATTACCTTTAGTAAGACTAGATTGAAAGAGTCCATGAAACTCAATTGCACAATCTTACAAGAAATTCTCAAATGTATTTAGGCCTGATTTTCTACTTTGTTATTCCAATACATGAAAGGAACACTCCACTATTGCTCTAACTTTATGTTTTGCCATTCTGTTAGAAGGCGAACCTTCAACTCAGGCCCAAGCTTTTTGCAGCCTCTGACAAGTTTTCTTTTAAGATTGCCAATTATTCACCTCTATCCATCTTACCATTCTCTGCATTCCCCCCTCTCTGCTGAAAAAATGCCTCCCCATGTTTTCCATACCAAATGACATTTAAGGTCTCATCTGAACAAGATACCTTCTTAGATTTAATAAGTTGCTTTATTATCTACATCAGGGGTGCTCAAGTCCAGTCCTCAAGCGCTACCATCTTGTAATTTTTAGATGCATTTCTTCTCTAACACATCTGACTCTAAAGGCTTATTCCCCTAATTTAGCTCAGCAGAGGTATGGTAATGATTCATTTGATTCAGTTGTGTTAAAATGAGGACTGGACTTGAGCACCCCTGCTCTATATGGATTTTTGCTAGACTGCAAACATATGGATTTATGGATTTATTTTTTATGTTTTTTTCTTGCTATATTTCTTTCTTAAAGCCTGTATTCGGCCGGAAACACTGATCCTGTCGACAGATTCTGCCACCTGAGCTGTGGATTTATACTTTCTCCTAAGTGGGCATCTTGGTTTCTTCTTCATTTCATCTCTGCTTTATGGACCTTTACGGTTCTTCTGGTCATTCTCTTTGCATTACCAGATGAACAAATAGGCCTGTATTTCCTCCTATCACTCAAGAAGTACAAACTTTCAGCAGAAATGCTGCTTTTCTTCTATTCATCACTGTATGGTTTGGGTTTTTATCAAATCAAGACTGCACTAAACAGTTAGGTCTGCAGAGAACCACCAGAGCTTCCATTTCTGATTGATTAATACAGGTCAGGGATCAGCAAAAGAGCCGCTAGCATATTTGCAAACCCTACACAGTCTGGATATAAACTGTTTAGACATTTGCCTTCAGTTCTGTGCTGTTTGGAAAATCCTGTTGGAACAAAGAAACTTTCTTTCCCTCCAGCTTCTCATTGACAAACAATAGTAATGAGCTTAGAACGATACAATGCATATTTTCTATTAATAATAATAATAATAATACATTTTATTTGTAATGCACTTTACAGTTAAGAAAAAATCTCAAATTGCTACAGGTAACATCATCATAGAAGGGTGAAATCAAAATTTAAAACTTAACATCGCTTTAAAACACTTATGAATAAGATCAATAGCATAATTGTAAAATGTTAGAAGTCATACGTCCTGCTAAAAAGAAATGTTTTTAATCCTTTATTCTCCATCTTAAATTCCTCTGTCATAAAATGTATTTATATATTTAGATTTAAAATATTTTCACTGACATCAAAGTAAAAGGGGATTAGTCACATAAATGCTTTGTCCACATAGTTTCGTTTACTACAACAAAACAAGTAACCTGAGGAAAAACTTTGTACATACATGCAATGCAAAAACAAGAAAGAGCAACAATCATTCTGTATATTCTAGCCTAATCAAAATGCAGCATATTGTTAAGGAGTCTTGAGCCAAAGCAGAAGTGCATTAGTGTTCACCATGATAAGTGCTGTCTGAATATTGCTGGTACGAATGAAGGACGTAGGAAAAGGAAGCTTGGTATATAAAGTTAAATTAGCTTAAATTTGTAATGTTCCTATACACTATAAAGCTATAAGGAATTCCATAATCTTTTGTTTGACAGGATGTACGGGCACAGACTACCTCATGGAAATGAACAAAAATACAGTATTTCATCATGTGTACTGTGTGTGAGCTTCAGCTTTTCAATAGATTTGTATAACGTTTGTTTTTTAAAAATTCTTCATTGGAAGGCTGTTTTTCACCTGTTTGATTAGCATCATCAACGTGCGTCTCCATTGCCTAATGATGATGGCACAGCTATCCAAATCACCTTTCTTACCCACAATAGTGTTCTTACTATTGATCCTATGAAAGGTGAAGGAAGAGAAGCTTGGAATTAAGATTTGCTGTAATCGCTCTGAGCCTCTGCCTATTGGAGATACAATAAGATGAATCAGCAGCACTCAAAGTAAGTTTAAAAGGAGAGAGAAGTCTAAGAAGATTGCGCACCAAGAGAATCGGGCCAAGCTCGGATAGCACTATAAACATTGGTGTTCACTAAAGCAGCGAAAACATTCAAATTTGTCTGCCAAGTTAATGACTGGTGAGTTAACGGCCTCACTAATGTTGATACCAGTTGTGGCAATTCTGTACTTAGACTCTTAGTTATGGTGACAGAAAAGTTTAAATACTGTAATAAATTGCTTGTACTTATAACAGTGCCTATTTATGTCAGGGGACTCCATATCAATTCACACTACATTTAGTCATTCACACACACATTCAATTACTGATGATGGCAGGCTACGCAGTGACCCTGCTGTTGCCCCAGCAGAGCTGCCCCTCTGGTTGCTGCTGTCACCCCAAAATAACATTTTATAGGTTTTTTATTTTGTACAATATTCACAATTTTTCAGGTTTCCAATTTGGTAATCTATAGTGCCAGCAGATGGCGCGCAACAATGTTAATGTCTGCTGG